CAGATACAATAGTAGGAGGTTTGTGGCCTCCAAACTCCAATGTCACGGATTTGTAATCAGAAAGGATATCTAGTCCTATGATCATATCAGCACATAAGTCCTTCATTACCACAATCGTTTGATTTGGTAATAATTCACCATTGAAATGAACATCTACTGTACAGTGACCGACAGGATGAGAGATGTGGGATGAAGAGGCCATACTGACAGGTGCATGGTCTCCGCGATTAATGTCCCATTGATGCTTCCGGACACTGGCATTACTGAGAAAAGTTGCTGAACTTCCAGAATCTACCAAAGCATCAAGCTCTCGATCTTCCATTGACAAGGACTCTGGTAATACTCTTGGACAAGCATGGAGGCGAAGCTGCAAGATAATGGTTGTGAAGAGCCGATGATGTCCCGTTTTGGGATTGAGAGCTACTGTGAGGGACTGCTGATGATGTCATATTCTGAGAGCTACGATATTGATTGTTACGTCGATTCTTGCCGCGGGCACTGCCGCCCCGAACTTGAGATTGGCGACCGGCTTTGCAGACTTTCTGGAAATGTCCCTGAATTCCACAACCGTTGCAGTTAGAGTTAAAAGCAGGACAGGCCTGTCTGTTTGTGTGCGGTTTGGGCCCACCGCAGAAATAACAGGAGAATTGAAATGGGGCAGCTGCTACGAAGTTGTCATCATGGTTAGCACACCCTTCTGAATCTGACACTGATTCATTGTTATTAACAATTGCGTTGAGAGATGAACTTTGGTTGACATAAGATTGGGCCTGAACCTTTGCTGCCTCTAGCCCTCTAGCTAAGGAATAGATGTCTGACAATGCAGTCTTCTCGCTTTCCAATACCCGTTGACGTATACCAGGAGACTGTAGGCCAGCTATAAATGCCTCTCTTATGGCTTCATTTTGGTGTGTAGCCTCATTTACTGCACCGAAAACGCAGTCTTTGGCTAAAAATTTGAGTTTTTGGTAATAGGCGTCCACTGTATTGGAGTCTTGCTTGCAAGTGTTAAGCAGGTGTCGTGCAAAAATGACGTTCCTCTTAGGATTGAAGACACTCTCCAATGCTGCAATTGAGGCTGTGTAATCAGCTGTCTCCGAAATATGAGCATAGATCTCCGTGCTTACATAGTTTACGAGTAGGTCCTGTTTGTTAGCCTCCGTAATGCTAGTGATTGATCCAATGAACTTCACGAACCTAGCTTTCCAGTGCTCCCACTCCTTGGAACTGTTGGCAGCAGAGGGGTCGGCGCTAAAAGTCTCAGGACGCAGTAGTTTGTCCATAGTTGTTACCTCAGTGTGATTAAATGAAGTATAAGTAAAACTCTTTGTTCATTTAGACTTAATCACACTGAGGTTAAAACATTCTGAAACATTATAAACATTAGTATTAAAATAACTGAAACAAATAAACAAGAAATATAACAATGCGATTATATGCGATTATTTTGCGATTATTTGCGATTTTATGCGATTATTGCTATATAATGGTTGTTGCATAGCATTATAAAACGTTTGTACTGCAGTTATGAATTCTGTAACCTGCTCATTCTGTGACAAGTCTTTTGCCAATAAATATAGTCTGTCCTCACACATTAGTAGGTATCATCGAGAGAACCGAGAGTCAGATGAAAGTTTTGCAATTCTACAGCCACTGTCAAAAGCTAACTCAGATGCGACTGATGTCAAAATGGAGGTTCCTGATTTTGTATGTTCATATGCTGATACAATAGTTTCTGAAGAATCTCAGCAAGGTGGTTCTAACTCTGATGTACCAGGTAGTGGTGATGATGAATTTAGTGGTGTAACAAGTAGCGATGATGAGTCCAACAAAGAATATAGTGCTAAAGAGTTAGAATCTGATACTGACTGGCAACACGTAGGCAAGCGGAAAGGAGTACCAATCAAAAACAACCAAACAAGAAAAAGATATCGAAATTACTTAAATCTATAGACGTCCTGTTACAAAGTAAATTGTGTAAAGAGCAAGACAAATGTTTTGACATGTTATTCAGTATTCTCATACATGATGAAAACCGAATTGTTTGTGGACTTGAAGCAGCGTTTCATTGACAACGGAAAAGACATGACAGGTGTTTTAAGTTTGGAAGAACGAGCTCTATTGGATGCAGTTATCAACACTACAAGTCTATCTGATGTAAACAAACTGATGAACGAAAACACAACTATTGTCGATAAGATTCTCAAACTTTATCTGAATAAGTAGTTGGTGGAACTAACTACCTGTACTAGAACCCCATTAACGTACAACTGTTATAGATTGATTTATGTACCCAATCTTACTCTTGATGATTTCAATTTATGATTATGGTGATAGCAAAAAAAATTATCAATTAAACGGTAGTTTTATTCGTCTCTTGAAATTCACCAAATTTATAACACGCAAATTTAGTAGTTAACAATAGTCAATGGTATGGAGCCTTTGCTACTCCCTAGACTGCAGGGTGACAATGGGATTCGATTCGCCCTGAACCTTTTGTGCAGAAGGCGGATGCTCTAACCACTAGGCTACCCAACAGTTGTTATATCTTAAAGGGTGAAAATGTGGTTCAGATACTGTAGCTATTGCTTAAATGTCAGAAAATTGATGATAAGACTTGTAATTTCCAGGAGGTCGAGCGATGGTAACCCTACACCACATTTCGTTATGTCACCCTCTGTTTATTTGGAGTGGTGACTGGACCGGGGTAAATCGTGAAGAATCATTTGACCGGTAATCAAGTGACAGGAGCCTGCTTGGCAACCGTTTAATCAGACTTTAGATTCTTTAGACAGGATTATTGATTTATTCATCATGACGTTCTGACAGGTAATCAAGTGACTCTTGTCACGTGACCTCGAGGTTCAAATAACATTCATGTCACGTGATGCTAAAGTTAAACACGTAACCAGTGATCAAATAACAGGAACCTGCTTGGCAACCGTTTAATCAGACTTTAGATTCTCTAGTCGGGATTATTAATTTATTCATCATGACGTTCTGACGGGTAATCAAGTGACTCCTGTCAAGTGATCTCGAGGTTCAAATAACATTCATGTCTCATGATGCTTAAGCTAAACACGTGACCGGTAATCAAGTGACAGGAACCTGCTTGGCAACCGTTTAATCAGACTTTAGATCCTTTAGTCGGGATTATTGATTGATTCGTCATGACGTTCTGGCTCCTCATTGGTCAATTATCTTGTCACGTGACCTTGACATTTAATTAACGAGCTTGTCACGTGGTTACATGACATGTGACCCTTGTGACGTGCTGTCACGTGACCTGGGGGCGTGCTGTGAGTGGCTGGGGGCCACTTGATGGCTGGCCTTCATACATTCCCATCTACTTCTGCACATCGCCGACATTGTAAACATTGTATTGCAATGTCAAATTTTTATTGAATATGTTAAAGTTTTTTCATGTCGCACTTTAGTTCGTGTCGCACTACAGTACTGGTAGCGTACTGTAGTGCGACAGTGTCGGCCTTGAAAATTCTCTGTCGCACTACGGTACGTGTTGCACTACGATCCAGGTAGCGTACTTTAGTGCGACAGTGTCGAACTTGAAGGTTTCGCACTGCCACTAGGGTACGTGTGGCACTACAGTACGGAAACCAGGGGACCAGGGTCAAGGGTGAGAAGACTCATAATATTAAATAAAGGTTGGAAATGTCTCGTCCGTATATAAAAGAGCAAACAGCAAGTTTGGCATTGAAATCAGATTTACTTTGGACGATCAGAGTATTATACCCATCAACGGATGGTACCCGTAATTTTACTGGGCGGCGCTCAGCCTGTCTTTCCGCCGAATCTCTATGATTATGAACATAAATATAATAGCCTGGGGTCCCCAGGTAACCCGTAATAAAAATGGTTAATATTTCTTTTAATTGTTCATGTTTCAGAAATTAGAACCGGCAACGAGACGCATCTCATTTTCAGCATGTTATAAACATTTAAGTGTAAGTTCATATGCTCTGTTATGTGTTGAGTTCAGCTTTTATGGTTAAGGTTATCTAGGCTAGCTTCAAGCTTGCTGGTCTCTTGCTCGCTTCTCAGCAAGAAAGACTAGCAAGCTAGGTAACTATAAACTTAAACCGTATTACTCCAAACTCTGACCATAAACAGTAGAATTTGCTGTTTGCGTTTAACTGGTATTTAACGTGTCCAAAATAGCAGTGTTTTTGTTAATCAACAATAACAAATAATGAAATTAACCATGAGGGAAGCAATTTTTTATGTCATGGAGTGATCTGGAATGAGCCGACCTTATTACGTAAATGTGGCATTGTGGCACTTGTGGCACTATATCATGTGGCACTTGCTGCACTCACATGTGGCACTTGCGACACTAACATATGTAACATGTGGCACATGTAGTTGACCGATGATCACAATAGTAATACAATCATGTCATTTGTAATTCGTAATCGTATGTAATTATGGTTCATATATATGATAAGAACACTGATCAATTCAAGCTTAACAAGCCAAATTATGATATCAATCATTAAACAAATTGATATCGTCTTGAGCGTTATTTATGATTGCTGATCGCAGTATGAATCGGGCAGAATTATATTTCACGATAATACCGTAAAAATCAATTTTAAAACTTAAAGTTGAAGTAGCAACCAGTTCAGTTGACGATTCTTGCAAAAAAAAGCAGTACTCTACCTAACTATGTAGCATATTGGAGCCACAAGTGCCACATGTGAGTGCCACTAGTGCCGCATGCTGCATATGATAGTGTCGCAAGTGCCACATGTGAGTGCCGCAAGTGCCACATGATAGTGCCACAAGTGCCACAGTGTCACATTTACGTTATCAGGTTGTCTGCCTGAAAAGGAATCAGTAGATAGAGTTCCTTATAATCACTGACTACGACAGGGAGCTGAAGACAGATCTGGGAGGGTCTGGGTACAATTTATCATATTGCTATAATATCATCTGCACACTTATACTTAGTTTTAAACTAATTACAACACTTCAAATCCATTACATTTATTGAGAATATGAGTATGAAGTAGTTATGTCGATACGTTATTCAACTATTTATTTCTATTAGAATCTGTCTTCACTAAGTCTATTAAGAGACAATCAGAAAGTTGAATCATTTATCAAAACATTTTTATACATCACAAAACCTCCGACTTGATTTACAACTTAACTTCACAAACACTTATCATATAATACAAACTAACTCTGTATCATACTTCAATTCAAGGCAACATTAGCGTCCGTGAAATTGAATTGATCTCTTCATCTGCCGTATTACTTTGGAATATTGCCGGTCTCCGCTTCAAACATAAATGTATGATATTCAATAGACGCCGCTCTGCAAACGTCACCTTATCACCTACCTGAAACAGATTTTAAGATGAGCAACTAAATAAAGATTCGTTGAGATTCTGAGTTTCTGCCCTGACGGCTAACCAAATAAAATTTGGTCGGACAGACTCATCTCGCATATTAGGAAAAGCAGCTGAGGTTTAAGATATTTACCTTCTTTCAGATTTTGTTTTTATACTGAACTAAAGTTTAAACGATAACCTCTGAATGATCTGAACAACTAACTTTAAGGACATCGATCCTAAGAAATGGCCGTTTTTAAAAGCTTTAAAAAATTTCGAAGGGTCTACACAATGTCAATAACGCGCGGCTGGCGCTAGATATTGTAGAAGGCTTACGATTTTTTCCTTTATTCATCGGAAAGTCAATGTGGCAGACATAAAGAGCTAAAACTCTGTCAAAGCTTCTATATCAATCTTTCGATACTGTATAGTATAGGCGGGAACTACGGAATTTGCAACAATTCAGTCAACTAACTGAAACTCTAACGATACTATTACACGATACAACGATATGTATTACTAATGTGTAATCACAAATCGCGCGTTATCGCACTTTGGTATGAGAAATCAATAATAGTGTTAATTCTTCGGGATGGTACACTTTATTCCATCTTCTAAAGTTTTCAATTCTAGTGCAATGGTCATGGTTCTCGACAATAAATTAGAAGTCAGTTAAATATTGAATCTTTAATCTAAATATAATTCTAACCAGAGTATAGGAGGTGCTATTTTCAGGTCCGTCTAGATCTCTGATAGGAAAAGTTAGTGGATCACTGGATCCGTCCCTGAAGTGAAACAAATGTTACTATCTTGCAAATGTTAACCATTTTATTTCGATTAGAATCGAATTTAACATACTTAAACTTGATATGATGTAATAATGAGGTACGTGTAAAAATCAAGGGTATCCCTCGAGCCAGTTCAGCTTGTGTAATATAACAAAATAGATAGGGAAAAATAAGGGAGAGTACCTGGTGCCATGCTGTGTCAACAGAAGCGCTGAGGTTGAATTCAGTGAGCATTATTTGGAGAGGATTGTCATCAGTTACTGTGTGAGTTAGTGTTGTGGTGGACGAAAGGATAAGCCGCTGATCAGGGATATAGGCCCCTCCTCACGAACTCTCTGCTGTGTTGACGCAACGAGTGATACTTTGGGGTGGTCAAAAGATGTGATGGCCCCGTCAAGTCTTGGCGAAACTCAACATAAGTCAGATTGGTAGAAAACAATGCCATTGGAAAACTCTATCCAATAGTCACATTATAGTCATTTCTAGAAAAAAAATATACCTGGTTAATGTTGTTTAATGTGAGAGATTAAGATAAAAGAGGCGACCACTTTTTGTCAGTGTAAATATTGTCAAACAGCGGGCTTCAAAATCGTCTAGGGGGAAAGAGCCCTGAATATCAGCTATCTGCCTTAGTACCTTGGCTCTAAAGTCTAAATTATGCAGCGATGACGACATAAAAAGTCGCTGTATCATGGCAAATCTTGCTTTGTCAGAACTAAAAGAAGGTTCAGGAGCAAAGTAAATATCAGACTTAAGATATGAAAGCACAGAAAGACTGAGTCAAAAGTACAATTGTAGCTGCTGTCAGCTATTCTGCATCAAATAAAATATCAAGCGGCCATCTACTTAGGACGTCCAGCAAAAAGGGAGGGCCGAGGGGGAGGTGGTTTTGGAATTTCGGACAAATCCGGACAGGGATAGGGAGTGGTTTCTGAAAATCCGGACGTCCGGAAATTTTGGCAGAATTAACGAAAAAGTCGCATTTATTTCAACTCTTTGACACTAATTACTCAGTAAGTTTAGATCCCTGTATTTTGAACGAGAAGTCGTTTCCCAGAGCAGCTCATGAGAGCCGAGACACAACTCGCATAAATTCCGCTACTGCCTTAAAACTTATTCCATTGGATGGCTACCTACTTAAGTACCTTAATGTAACTGTGCTAAACTTGTTCGACACTAAATGTATTATTGTGCCTACACATTTTATTAATAATGAATTTGAGTTGGTTTTGTTTGTACTCTTTAAAGTAGCTGGAAATCCGGACGTCCGGGGGAGGGGTGGTTTTGAAAATTCGGAAACACCCGGACAGGGGGAGGGGGTGCCCCCCGGGGGTGGTCTGAAAATCTGTAATTTTGACGGACGTCCTAAGTAGATGGCCCCTAAAGTCTAAACAAAAGTTCTCAAAACGTATACACAACGAGAGAGTGTCGACCTACATGTCAATGAAACAGACTGTTTCATTGTTTGAGACAACACGTGTGTTAGCGCGCAATTCTGGAATAATCCGAGAGATGAACTGTAGCGAGTGTAACTTTAGTGTGCAGATGAGTGTGTACTTCGATGTATACTATTTCTGCACGTACAGGATCCTTTGTTAGGGGTCATTCACATATTTAGTTATCACTCGCTAAGGTAAAGGGGGTGGGGGAATAGGAAATGGTTTATAATACACGCTTAACATGTTACTGTTTGCTAACCAATACAGCAATACTGGGGTAGGTTCACTGATAGTGTTTCTCAGAGATATTGAATTTATAGATGGCTGTAAATTATGCTAATAAATATATAAAAATAAATATGGTCAAATGTTGAACAATGAGATGATTTAAGAGAAGCAAATATTAGTCGACTGAAATTATGATCTGATAAAGTGTACTGTGAACACAAATGTATAAAACAAACTCATAACAGATCAAACAGTTTAAAATGGAACACAATAAGACAGAATAATTGATCAAATGTTAAACACTTATAGTGTTTCTCAGAGATTGATTGAAATAAATTTTCGTGCACATACAGAATGAATGGTTAGAGATGAGAGATGGCTGTAAATTATGCTAATAAATGCCCACTTTTTGGACTGGAAACATGAATGAAGGGAATAAATCAATAATACTGTTTGCTAACCAATATTGGGGTATGTTCACTGCACTTATAGTGTTTCTCAGAGATGGCTGTAAATTATGCTAATAAATGTCCACTTTTTGGACTGGAAACATGAATGTAGGGAATAAATCAATAATACTGTTTGCTAACCAATATTGGGGTAGGTTCACTTATATAGTGTTTCTCAGAGATGGATTTAAATTATGCTAATTTAGGGAATTAATTAGTTGAACTGTTTGCTAGCCAATACTGGGATAGGGTCACTTAGGTATAGTGTATCTCAGACTGCAGAGCTCGACCGGGATTTGGCCATTTTGTCCCGGTCCCGGTCCCGGCCGGGATTTTGTTTTTAGCCGGGATTTTAGCCGGGATTTTTCCAAAATAAAGTCGGTTTTTGAGCGTATATTTGAGCCCAAATTTCACGAACCTGTGAACATTTTCCGAAAAGTTTTACTACAACAGTGCTCTACAGTGCTTCTTAATAGTTAGATCATTTCACTTTATCGTCGCCAAAAGTTTATTGAAAATTCAACTTTCAAGTCTTCAAGAAATGTTTATGTTACATGATCAAAATTCTATGAATTTTGATCAATGGTAGTTGGCAAATTTCAAGTCAAACAAAATTTACTAATGTTCAAAATGAATTATATGTTCACCTGTTCACTTCATGAGTAACAAATTACAAATCCATCAAGTAGATAACATGACAAGCAATTGCATTTATTACAGGTACCTTCGGATAATAAAACATCTCAGAGATAAAGAGAGAGATAGAGAGAGAGATAGAGAGAGAGAGAGAGAGATAGACAGAGATAGAGAGAGAGAGAGAGAGAGAGAGATAGAGAAAGATAGAGAGAGATAGAGATTAGAGAGAGATAGAGTAGTTACTACTACTTACTGTCAATTTTAACTTGACATACCTCAGTTTGTTCTGGAAGATTTTATTTAACATATAACACTGTTTCATTTTAACTGAGATTGAGAAATATTGGAAAAATCCCGGTCCCGGTCCCGGTCCCGGCCGGGATGAGGCTAATCCCGGTCCCGGCCGGGTTTTCATTTCGATCCCGGTCCCGGTCCCGGTCCCGGCCGGGATGAAGGTCATCCCGGCCCGGTCCCGGCCGGGACTAAATTTCGATCCCGGTCGACCACTGTCTCAGAGATAGATGGCTGTAAATTATGCTAATAAATGTCCACTTTTTGGACTGGAAATATGAATGTAGGGAATAAATCAATAATAATTTTTGCTAACCAATATTGGGGTAGGTTCACTTATAGTGTTTCTCAGAGATTGCTGTAAATTATGCTAATAAATGTCCACTATTTGGACTGCAAACATTTTAGGGAAAATTTAATCAATAAAATACTGTTTGCTAGCCAATACTGGGATAGGGTCACTTATAATTATAGTGTTTCTCAGAGATAGACATGGCTGTAAATTATGCTAATAAATGTCCACTTTTTGGACTGGAAACATGATTGTAGGGAATAAATCAATAATAATTTTTGCTAACCAATATTGGGGTATGTTCACTAATTATAGTGTTTCTCAGAGATGGCTGTAAATTATGCTAATAAATGTCCACTATTTGGACTGGAAACATTTTAGGGAAAATTTAATCAATAAAATATTGTTTGCTAGCCAATATTGGGGTATGTTCACTGCACTTATAGTGTTTCTCAGAGATGGCTGTAAATTATGCTAATAAATGTCCACTTTTTGGACTGGAAACATGAATGTAGGGAATAAAGCAATAATACTGTTTGCTAACCAATATTGGGGTAGGTTCACTTATAGTGAACATCGATGGTGCACATTTTGCTTTTTCAGCAAGGGGCTTAAGCCTATTGAGGACGAAATTCATGTTCTAACTGACTGTTCACTCTACTCCTCAGTTAGAGAAAAATTTAACTTCCATCCCAAAAATATTACTGACCTAGCCGGTTTGCTATCCGATAAAACACTAGACCCTACAAAATTTACTGCCACAGCAAGAGCAATCCATTCAATTCTCTCTGTGAACGAAAATTTTACAGCCTACTATAAGAGCCCAGATTTCCACTCAAATACTGGCCAATGCATAATGCTATAGGACCTCAAAAGTAGTATTATAAAACATTTCTATTTTATCCCTACACATTTGTATATAACTAGAATTGTGTAACCTTAAATTATTTCAGAATTATAACTATTGTGAATTCAATAAAATAATTATCACTTTTGTATCCTTGTATCCTTGTATCCTTGTATCCTAGTGTTTCTCAGAGATGGATTTAAATTATGCTAATTTAGGGAATTAATCAGTTGAACTGTTTGCTAGCAAATACTGGGAAAGGGTCACTAATTATAGTGTTTCTCGGAGATAGATGGCTGTAAATTATGCTAATAAATATCCACTATTTGGACTGGAAATAACTGACTTACTGACGTAAGTCGGCTTCTTGGTCCGAGCAACTACAATTCCTCGCCACACGTCGCGGTCAAGCATAACAGATCTTATCTCTTCAACACAGGAAAGGCTGGTGTCCTTCTTTAGCATGTCCAGAAACGTAAGGTGGGGCCTCCCCGGTCTCCTGTATCCATGCTGAGGGTCCCAGAACAGAAGTTGGTTTGCCAGAAGGTCGTCATGCCTGGCTACATGTCCAGCCAGTCTCATTCTTCTGGAGGCTATCATCGCTGATGGCTTGGGGATGTTGCCGTATAAATCACTGTTGTTGATGATTTGTGGCCAACGTATGTTCAAGGCCATCCGGAGCATTCTAGTGTAGCATCCATTGATCCGCTTAGTCATGGATTGGCTTATCGTCCAAGCTTCAGAGCCGTACAGGAGTACGGGCTCAACCGTTGCTCGAAAGACACGGATCTTTAAGTCCCTGCGCATTCCAGACTTCCAGGTTGTCTTTAACTGATGACAGGCCCCCCATGCCTTTGCTTTCCTAACATCAAAGTCCTTCTCCGCACTCATTATTCTGCTTCCAAGGTAGACAAAGTCATCTACTTGCTCTATCTCCTGCCCACTTGCTGCTTTAATGACGGTAGAGTCAGACTCAGAGAGATTGACTCTGATGTACTTCGTCTTACTCTCGTTGAGGTGCAGTCCAACGGAGTTAGCAGCCAGCTCCACACTGAGGAGAAGATCTTGCGCTTGCTCTGCGGTGTCTGTTGTCAGTGCAAGATCGTCAGCAAAGTCGACATCTGTCATCTTAACTGCTGGGTATCTCCTGCTTCTTCTGGGGTTGACAGTGAAGCCCAGATCTTTGCCTCTAAGTGCTGTTGTCATCACATAGTCAATGACAATCACGAAGAGGTAGGGCGCCAGTGTATCTCCCTGCATAACTCCAGCAAGTATAAGGAAAGC